ATGGGGGAATCACTGCCCGCACACCCTCTGTGTGTTCCTGTGCTGGCCAGGTGTCCTTAAACACTTAGATTTCCTCTCTCGTGGCTTCCAAGCACACTCTTGCCCCCAGACACACTCTGCCCCCCTTCCCACACAGGCAGGGTTCCAATCTGGCGACCCCAGTACCCCAGTCCCTCTGGACGCTCCAGGGCTGTTGGTGTGGCACAGGGTGCATGGCACAGGGTCAGTGCTCAGCTCTGTGGGAGCTGCTGCTGGACCCTGCAGCAGTGCTGACCCAGCTGGCCCCAGTCCCGTGGCCCACAGGCACATCCCCAGTGCAGCTGTGCAGGGGCTCTCAACAGAACAATGATCTGGGTGGGATGGGACCTTAAAGTTCACCCAGTCCCATGCCCTGCCATGGGCAGGAACAACTTCCACTATCCCAGATTGCTCCAAGCCCCGTCCAACCTGGCCTTGAACTTTTCCAGGGATCCAGGGGCAGCCACAGCTTCTCTGGGTAACCTGGGCCAGGGCCTCACCACCCTCACAGGGAGCAATTCTTTCCACATACCCCATCTAACCCTGCCCTCTGGTAGTGAGAAGCCATTCCCCTTGTCCTGTCATGCCATGCCTTGTCCAAAGTCCCTCTCCAGCTCTCCTGGAGCCCTTTTAGGCACTGGAAGGGGCTCTGAGGTCTCCCCCAGAGCCTTCCCTTCTCCACATGAACAGCCCCAGCTCTCCCAGCCTGGCTCCAGAGCAGAGGGGCTCCAGCCCTCAGAGCAGCTTTGTGGCTCCTCTGAGCTCACTCAGCAGCTCCAGGTCCTTCTGCTCCTGTTGGGTCCCAGGGCTGGAGGCAGCTCTGCAGGTGGGGTCTCACCTGTGTGGAGCACAGGGGCAGAATCCCCCTTCCCCTGCTGCCCACACTGGGGGATCTGCCCAATTGGCCAAGGAGGATGAGCTGGACATTGTGCTGGGGACACAGAGCACCTGGGAGTCACCCAGGCTGGGACCTCGGGGGACACTGGCCAGGAGCAGGCAGTGATGGTGGAGTGTGGGATTGCTTGGGGTAGGTGTGTGCAGGGATGGGGTGTGCAGGGTTGAGATGTGCAGGTGCACATTGGGGTGAGCACACAGCACTTTTGGGAGACAAAAGGGGAGTAAGACAAGGGGAGTTCAAGGTAGTTTTGTCTCCTGTGCTCTCCTACAGTGCCCAAATGAGGACAGATTGGAGGACAAGACAAAAGAGCAAGGTAGGTCTGGGTTGGGGCACCAGGATGGAGGGAAGGTGGATCATGTCAGGGGGCTGGAGTGGGCTGAGTGTCCTGGATTAGCCCTTGTTTCCTGCTGATGGAGTTCCAGCTCAGGTCTTCCTTGTCCTGTGGCTGGAGATGCATGAGTGGGGTGGGATGATGAACCCGAGGGAAACCTATCCCTTGGTGAGGTGGAGGGAGGGCTGTAAATGTGGCTGGGTTTGTCTTGCATTAGAGCTGTGGCAGGGACATGTTTCCCACCCATCCCTGACCAGGGCTCTCTTGGTGCCCTTGCAGGACTCGGAACTTGTTCCTTTTCCCAGGTGGATCCTGCAGGTGCCAGGCGGTGGCGGGGCAGGTGCTGATGCCCCTGGCCATGGTCTCTGCTGCCTGCTGCACTGCCCCTCCCTGGCGGCGCTTTGGGGGCTGCACCTCGGCCTGCCATGGCATGGCCCTCTCTGAACCTGTCATTAGCTGTGACAATAAAACAAACCCAGCTGAGGGGCTTTGGTCCTAATAAAAGACACCAAACGCCTCTGTCCTGCTTATTGTGGGGTTGGCTTGGGTGGGGAGATGTGGAGGGGTGCCAAGGGCTGCTGTTGGAGTCATGCAGGACCCCACCCAACCAAGGGTAGAGGAGATGGGTTTTGAGCTTGGAAAGGAAGGACCAGCTTTATGAAACACACTGGGAGGTTACTGAACCAGAAGGAGCCCAACAAGGAGAAAGAGAATGCGGAAAGATCTCCTCCTGGAGCAGGGGAATGATTCTGCCTGGGGAAAAATAAATGCTACATAAATGTTGCAGCACCTTAATGCTTCTTTATTGAAGCACAGTTTTTTTTATCCACACCAATGAGGCAATGATCCAGCCAGGAGCTGTCACCTCCCCACGGTGGGTACAGGACATGTTGATGTTTTACCCAGAGGAGAGGGCTCATCCCTGTGAGCTACTGGCTCATGTGCAGGGTGAGTTATCACTTGAGCTCTGGGCCAGCTCGGGGCAGACACTGGGTGTTACCAGAGCCCAGAGGGCTGGGGACACGAGGGTAGGAGCTCTCCCAGCTGCGTGGCAGCTCTGTCATGGGGCCAGAGCCACATCCTGCCTGTGTCCTGGCTGGCCCTGGAATTGTCAGTGTAGATGCAAATCCAGCCTGGCATCCATACATCGGAGCCCATCCCACCCTTGGTGCCACAGAGAGCAAAGCTGGGCAGTGCCTGTGATTATTCAAGCCCCTCTCTGCACCATCTCTCCTGCAGCCCCTCTGCTTTGTCCCCATCTGTCCCCAGACACCTACATCCCAAGATGAAGTCCAGGGAGTGTTACTGGTCCCATGAGGAGCAGTAATGGTGCAGCACCAGCCACACCAGGGTTGTTTCCACCATCAGAGGGCATTGTCGGATTAATTTTATCCCATTGCTGGTCAGGATGGATTTTTGAGGCGGTTGGAACTGGTGGTAATGCCACAGAGCAGAGGTTGCAGTCCCAGCTGACAACTGCAGAGCTTGCTTTCCCTAGCATGCTCATACCCAGCCCTAGACACTGCTGGGGGTGTCCTGTCCCCCTCGGTGTCCATGGTACCGGGGCACGTGGCCTTGGCCAGTGGGATTCTTCAGGGACAGGGTCAGGAAGCAGGCTGTGAGCTGATCAGCAGGGCTCTCATGCTGCATGCTGTGCCCTTTCCAGGCCCTTATTTCAGTCGTACAGAGCACAGACTGTGTTTGTAACCCCACAGGGGACGGAGGTGGGTGACAACATCCAATTTTAGTGAGGGCTCCCACTGAGGGGCAGGTCTGGAGAGCACAGAGTGGAAAAATCCACTTTATGCTATTTTTAATGAAGAAACCATCCACATGCCCTTTAATTTATGAGCAACCCAGTTGCCAGGTTCCTGGTTACCTTAGCAAGGATCAGGCCAAAGGGTCAGTTCCAGAAAAGCAGCAGGAATAAGATGCAAGTGGAAGGCAGAGCTGGGCAAACAGCAGAACTAATCTGAAGGCAAGGTGCTGTGGAGGCAGGGGACAACAGCCTCGGCCTGGGGTCCTCTCTCATCCTCACTAACCTGGGGATGCAGCATCCTCAGGTACCACTGATACTGGTGCTCCATGAGACCTGAGGCTCTTCCCTCTGCTCTTTCCAGGAGATGCTGGCTCTGGCCAGAGCTGGCACAGGACATGGCAGAGTGGGAGCACGGGAGTCACTGCACTGGGCAGAGGAGCCATTGGGCTGATATGGGGTGAGCCAAAGCCTCATGTGAGAGGTTCAGCGCTGGCCCCAGGCACCTGGTGATGCCTGGGAGGGGGGTGTGGGCTGAAGTCTGTGGGGAATTGCTGTTCCCAAGGGCTCAGCACCAGCACAGCACCATCTACACCATGGGAAGGTGGGAGGGTGTTCAGGACCCCTCTACTGTGATGAGGACTGAGGGAAGGATTTTCTCCTGTCCTTGCCATTGTTTTTCTGCTCTGCTCCCATTGTTCCCAGTGCTGTCTAAGCTAGGAGCCTGGAAATACATCAAGGCACCTGCAAAATATGGGTGGCTGAGCCTTTCATCTCCTCTCTTCCTTGCTGCCCTCCTCATCCCTCCGAGCTAAATAGAACTGGCTGCAGCAGTGGGAGAAGGGACTCCTGGCTGCCTGTGCTGCACACTCCCAACATTGCTAAAAATCACCCATAAATCTCAGCCATCCAAGGTCCTTCTCCTCTCTGCACCCCCAGTCTCTGTGAGAACTTGCTGCAGTCACTTTGCTCATTGCTGACGTCCCCTCTGAGGAGCACGACCCTGCTGGGGCAGGGCAGGACCACAGGAGCCTGGAGAACAAGGGAGACTGATAAGAAAAGAATCCAAATCAACTCAAATTTTTCCACCACTGCTTCAGCCCTGGAGGAGGGACTGGCACTTCCAGCACCCAGATGGACCAGAGCTGGATGAGGGATAGTCCATCTCCAGCCAACCCCTCCTCAAATCTATCCACAGCTGAACTTTAGTGGTGGCAAAGTGCCCTTTGGCAGCATCAGCACTCACGTGGTGGCCTGTAGCTGTCCCCCACTTGCTCCCAGAGGGGTCCATGTTCCTCTCTGCCTCCTGGGCTGTGGAGGTGGCTGCATTAACCCACAATGTTTGGGTCAAAAGAATTTGGCTGCACAGAGAGGGTGGGAGGGAACAACATGGGAGGTGTGAGATGAGCAGCCTGAGAGAGATTTGCTACTGCTTTTCACAGAAAACAGTCAGGAGGAAGGAGGGAAAATGACTCAAAACCAGAGTAAAGGGAGAGAGAAGACAAGTGGAGAGGACACACTCCCTTGGGTACAGCTCGCAGGGGTAGTGGATGCTGCTGGGACCCATGGGGAGCCATCAGGGGAGCAAAAGCCGTTTCTGCAGAGTTCTCTGGGATTATACTTAAGGTTTCACCAATACCCACCTCTGCCTACCTCTCTGGTAGTACTGAGAGCTGGAGACTGACCCTTTGCTCTGCAGGGTAGTGGGTTTACTACCCTATGGGTGCTGGCAACGCCATGCGAAGACTTTTCCTATCTCTTCCCATGTCTCAGCCCAGTTCACCTCTCCCTGGTTGCAGAGGGGAAATAAAGGGGTTTCAAACTTAGTTTCTTCAGAAATCCCAGTGCCCTGGATTCTCCTGGTTCTTGGCATCTTCACTCCCACAGGGCACCCCTTTGTCCCAGTGCAGAGGTACCCCCATGGCTCCACGGACAAGGGGCCAGAGCGTGAGGTGCTCCCAGCACCACCAACACCATGGAGCTGAGGGTCTCCATCAATGGCAGGGCACCTCCTGTGTGGTTTGGATCACTGGACTTTATTTGCATGAAGATAAACTGCGCATTTGTCTGTACAATTTCTCCTTAAATACTTGGCAATGCTTAAAAAATGAAAAACAAAAACAATCAGGGAGAAAAAATCCTAAACCAGAAAGGAACAGTGCAGGCTATAATATACAAACAGTACAATGCTTGTGAATAAATAACCCCCTGGGGTGACTGTGGGGACTGCAGGGGACTGCTGAACTCAGAACCCATCGGGTCCTTGCTGCCCCTTCCTGAGACAGCAGGAACAGTGTCTGGGTGGGGACTGGGTGGGCACACATGCCCCTCTGTCCCCTCTCCCAGTTCCTAGTTGCCTGTCTCAGCTGTGGTGGTGCTGGTGGCATTTTTGTTGGTTTTGCAGCAGAAGTACTGGTTCCAGATCTGCAGGAAGGCTGTCCGGAACTTCTTGATGCGGAAGGCATAGACGATGGGGTTCATGGCCGAGTTGCCGTGGGTGAGGAAGATGGCGATGTAGGTGAGGATGTGCGGGGTCTGGCAGGACGGGCAGAACAGGGTGATGCAGTTGAGGACATGCAGAGGCAGCCAGCTGAGTGCAAACAGGAAAAGAACCAGCGCCAAGGACTTGGCGATCTTCAGCTCCTTGCCATAGTACTTCTGGGGGTCATTGGAGCTGGAGGACACCTTCTTGTTGAGCTGTTTGCGGATGAGGTTGAAGACCTCCAGGTAGATGAGCAGCATCAGCAGCAGGGGAGGCAGGACCCAGACAAAGAAGTTGAAGTACACCATGTACTCCATGCTGATGACTGTCTCAAACTGGCACGTGATGACAAACTCCGTGTGGCTGCTGTTCAGCTCCTGAGTCCTTCGCATCTTGTTGAGGTTGTTCCACCCAAACATGGGGGTAAGTCCCACCACAAAAGAGACTATCCAACAGCAGGCGATGGCCACAGCTGCCCGCCGTGGTGTCACCATGCTCTTATACCTGTGGGAGAGACAACAGCCACAGGAAGGAGTTAGACATGGGTGGGATGCTCTGCTTGTGGGTTGTGTAGCTCCAGGTGGAGTGGCAGTGGTGGGGTGGCAGTGCCCGTGCTGAGATAGGAGGATGTTCCTCCTTCCCTCCCCTGGAAGTGGGTAACAGCCTGTTCTGAAAATTGTGTTCACAACTGGTTTTCCTGTCTGTGTCCTGGGATGGCACAGACCCCAGATACAATCCATGAGCTCCAGGGGATGATGCCAAGCCACGGAATGCACTAGCACCTGGAATGTGCCTGAGTGTCCAACCCTCATGACTTGGAGGGAGTTCATATGCTCTGGAGCCCAGCTCCATTAAAGCACCTGCACCCAGAGCAGCAGGTCGCCCTCTCCTCCTGCCATGCACCAACCCCACCAGCTCACTGTCCCAGACAACTGCCCTGTGCCTGGGGAGGAAATCACCAGCAAAAGCATCCCCTGGGATGTGCTGGGATGGAGGAAGGATCTGCGGGTGCTAATGGACCCCTGGGGAAGCTTTGGGCACAGCCTGTTCCTCTCCTAATGTGCTTGGGTTGACGAAACCCTCTTTCTTGATGGGCTGATGCCAGGGGCGGGAGGAGGAGGAGGAGGAGAGCTGTGCTATGGCTAGGCTCTGCTCCCTCTCTGATGCCCCTGGGGAGCCACCAGGGCTGGGCTCATCTCTCCAGAGCTCTGCAAGCGGGAAGTGCAGTCTGCTGGATTGATTTTTCCCTTGGCTCTCCAGAAAGCTTTTCTTTGGAGGCTGAGAAGATTCTCAGCCCAAGAGTTATTGCTTTCCACCAAAGGGGATTGAATAAAGAATGTTTTCCTGACTGTTTGCTGGGTCTCTCAGTGCTGCTGGTGTTAACCCAACCGTGGGGACCATGTGGAGGTGGCTGGCAAACCTGGTTTCCCAGTCCTGCTGCTCAGAGCTTCCTATTGCAGGGCTGCAGCCTTTACCTGTGAAGGAAATTGATCGTTTTGGGCCTTTTTTATACAGCCAAGGACCCAACCCACTCTCCCTTCTCAAGACCCCTCTCATGGGCAAGGCATCAAGGTGGGTGCTTGGAGTGTCACAGGCTGGAGGAGAGGGCATCAGTCCCTATGAGTCCAGAGGGTCTCCAGAGCCATTGGTCCCTGACAGCTTTCCTAAATGAACCTCCTGTGCTCTGGGAAAAGCTTCCCAACATCCTGGTGGCAGCCAGGTCCCGTGGGAAAGAGGTGACAGTGTGGGCAGCTGTTTCCGCTGAGAGCCAAGGCTGGCTTTGGAGGGTGATTTATTCCTTGTGGGGAGGACAGAGGGCAGGAGACCCTGAGAAAGGCTCAGGGCAGGGAGAATTGGGTCCCAGGGAGGGCAAGGGGTGGTGGGAAAGAACCAACACTGGGGGTCAAGTGAAGGGAATGGCAAGGAGGGTCCAAGGGAGCGGGGGGTGGCAGAGGGATGCCAGAGGCTCCCATGGGGCTGTGTGCTGACCCCTGCACCCCATGTCTGGTTGCAGGTCCTTGGTGGGGGGCTGATGTGCCCTCCAGCTCTGACACCCCACTGCCACCTCCCCAGGCTTGAACAGCTCAGGGAGTGACACCAGAAATAGCAGCACCATCCCCCTGCCCCAGCTCCTTCCCTCTTTGCAACCCCTGCAAGCTGTGCCCCATTGCTCACTCCTGGGGGTTTCTGCAGCCTTTTGCTGGACATGCTCCCACTCTGGGCACTCCCCGACCTGCAGAGCTGTGTGGGAGCCAATGCAAAGCTGCTGAAGAGCAGCGGTGTCACCACGGTCCCCAAACATGATCCCAGGGTTTGCAGCCACCACCCAGGCGCAGGGTCCACCTTTCTTCACTGCACACCCATCTCTCTCCATGGTCCATATCCATCTTTACCCTTGCTGCAGTGACTGGTCTGACACTGTTTGGGACAGGACCTGGCTCTCCCTGCTCCTACCTTCACTTTAGTTTGAGGCTGTACCTGCAGAAGCAGCCAGGGCAAACCATGACATCCTCCTCCAGCCTGTGTGTGACATGGTCACAGAAAAGTGGGTGAACCAAAAAACCCATAGAAAACAGACACATTTTCTTCTTCAAGCAACAAGCCAAGGGCAGAGGCAGCTGCAGGAAATGTGCTCCCAGGGACCTGTTTCCACTGTCTCCATCAGCCCCACATGAAGAATGGCAAAAGCTGTAAAATTGCTCCAAGTTCCCCCTCCCTCCAGCTCACCAGGCCCATCCATCCACTGGAGCTCTCATGGACCTGTCATGGGCCTCAGCTGGTCCAAAGGCCACAAGCCAAACTTCAATTCCTTTTACACTTTATTTTCCTTGGAGGTGTCCAAGGAATGCCTGGATATGGCCTTCAGTGCTCTGGGCTGGATAACAAGGTGGGGATAGGTTACAGGTTGGAACTGATGACCTCAGAGGCCTTTTCCAACCTAATTGATTCTGTGAGTCTGTAAAGGGTGGAAATGCAAGATCCTACCTAATTCTCAATCCCCTGCCACATGGTGGGAGGACATTTAGCAGAGGGACAGGGATAATGTTCCCAGCATTATTCTTGGTTATGCCATAAAGAAAATATTTTCTCATTGGTCTCATTTTGCATTAATATGATAGGGCTGGAATTTGGGATGGTATGGGAGGCAGAAGCACTAGAAAATGCTGATAATGGCTCATAGTTAATAAATAATCTTATGATTCTCATCAGCACCAGAGCAATTACCAGCATCATTGCAATTTTATTACTGCTGTTATTTTTATTAACAGCTGTGACTAAAACATCCATGGTAATCATCACCGCCATCCTTACCCACTTTGGGTTTGTTTCCTCTGCCCATGGGGGTTTGAGCCTGACTATAATTGGTAGATGTTCCCCTTGCTCTCCTGGAGTCGTGGTTTTTCCACCGTCCCTTCCCCACAGGGATGGTCATTGACCCAAGCCCTCCTGGATACAAAGTCTAGGAGAAAGACCCAATAACCATCCAGAGTCATAATAAGATGGGATGGGCAGGAACTGTGGTGTGGATCAAAATTGCTTTTGAGGGTTTGTAAGATAACTCCAAGAGGCAAAATGGCAATTATTGGCAGAGCTGTTTGCTCCCCAGAGGCAGGGAATAGGTGATGGGTGGAGGTGGAGGCTGACAAATTGTCCCCAGGGGCTGCACAGAGCTGAAAGGGAGAAAGGGAGCAGCTCTCCAGGGCAAGATGCTGTCTCCAGGAGAGGCTGAGGATGGAGCAGACACTGAGGCCCTTCTTCTCATGAAGATCATAGGATCTTAGAATACTTTGGTAGGGAAGGGATTTAAATCCCATCTCCTTCCACCCCTGCCATGGGCAGGGACACCTTCCACTAGCCCGGATTGCTCCAAGCCCTGTCCAGCCTGGCCTTGGACACTTCCAGCCATGGAGCAGCCACAGCTGCTCTGGGCAACTTGTGTCAGGGTCTCACCACCCTCAGAGGGAACAATTCCTTTCCAATATCCCATCTAACCCTGCCTTCCAGCAGTGGGAAGCCATTCCCCCTTGTCCTGTCCCTCCAGAACTTTGTAATGGCCCCCTGGCCATCATTCTGAAGACACCATCCACCCTCCTTTCCCTTTGGTCCTCATTCCCAGACTAAATGCAACTTCTGCCACATCTTGACGTGTCCAGACCTCTGCAACCCTCTCTGCTGCAGCCCAGGGAGCCCAGCTCAGCCCAGGCCCTGCTCTGGGGGTGCCCAGCCGTGGGTGGGCAAAGGCCCTGTGACCATTTCAGATATTAGGGCATGTCTGAAAGACATGGAGAACAGAGCATTCACCTGGAGAACAGAGCATTCACCTGGAGAACAGAGCATTCATTGCTTTCATTAATTTCACCTTTGCCTTGGGGTCTGTCCCCAAGAAAGAGATGAGGGCTCATTTCCAATATCCCAACCCAGAGGTCAATCCAAACACAACACTCACCAAACATCTCTTGTTTTGTTTGAAAAAGCTTCAAAGGCTCTAGGCCTGGTTTGAATAAAATGTGAAGGTTTTTAGCAGTTCTGTGATTAGTTTTTCTGTCCACAAAACACTTGCTGTTGTCCAGCCAGTGCCAAGATGTGGCTTTGCTGGTCTTTGCTCTGGAGAGTTTATTGCAGTGCAATTCCTGGGAAATTAATTCACTAATGAAGACAGACCATCACTAATGAAAAGAATCTGGAGCCTACGTGGCAGGGAGAAAGGAGGCCAAGCTGACATGAAGCTCATCTGCACGATGAACACAGCAAGAAAAAGCAGCCAGACCATGTCCTGATCTAATTGAAAGTCTCTAGACAAAAGTGCTTTGATCTCAGAGGATTTGGATTCCTGCTCCTTTCTCCTGGCTATATCTTCCCTTCAGATCTTTCAGTGTCTCGGAGGCTGCTGGGTGGGAAAACTCAGATTGTTGGTGTTCAAAGCTGCTCCGAAATGAGAGCCTGAGAAATGCAAAGTGGTGTCTGGGTTCTGCAAGGGTGAGGTCAGCCACAGCTCAGGGCTGGGACAAGGGGGTCCCTGGGTACTCACACAAAGTGGGAAGTGCTGCAGCAGGAACTCTGATCGTAGAGCCTTTGTCAGTATGGTCCTGGAAGTGAAAGGTTGGTCCTTCTTCACAGAATCACAGAATGGTAGCAAATGTGGGTTTGTGGCCACAAGTGGGTGTGTCACCATGAGAGTGGTGGCCTTGGGAGGGATAGAGATCAACCAATATCAGTCAAAGCTGGTATTTGGATGGACATTACAGCTTGTTCCTACAAATGCTTGGAATGGAGAGATGGTCCTATCAGCACCCCCTTAGGATACATGGGGGACTGTCCTGATCCCCAAATCCCAGACTGATTGCTTGTCAAAACCCAGCTGGCAAGTAAAGGCATTAAAAAATGGTCTGGTCTTTCAGGCAAGCAAGAAGAGCACATCCAGCAAGGACATTGGTGTTTGTTGGTGCTGGAGCCCCTGTCCTGCACCAAAGTAGCCCAGCAGTCTCCATTAGCACAGCATTTCC